GGCCTTAATTTGGGGGGAGGGGCTTAATTTCATTTCATGCCTATAAAACATGCTGGGACTTCCTATTGGGGAGGCCATATTGTTGGAGAAACAGGGTATATAAAATATATTTCAACAATTATATTTGGTCCTGCTTTCAGATGTTCCTCTTCAGTCAAGCCCAAGTTGGATTAATGTTTATTTTATTTATCTCTCCTGCTTTTCAATTAATTATATTTTATTTTTGAATGTGAATTGTCCCAAATTCCTGGTGGGCAGCACAAGGAAAGATTTATACAAATCAATCCAGCCACGCGGTATGTGAAAAAATGTTACATACAATAGCGAGTAAATGTCCTGCCTACACTGAAGGACCCGAAGAAGCCAATAAAATGTGAATTACTCACAGAAAAATGAAGACACATCAGGGCCTTGGAGAATCCAAAGCAATTTGAAGGCTACTAACATAATAGCAACTATTCTACATGTATTTGCAATCAAAGAAAACCCTGATTGGCTAAGAAGGATCAGGTGATTCTTTAGCTCCATAAAATCACTATTGGAGATTGGAGTTAAAGGGCCCTGGTCTCTTTCTGCAAGCTTTTGTATGGCTAAGAAGTTGTAGACCAGAGGTGCCCATCTTTAAGATGCGTGGACTTCAATTCCCAGAATCCCCCAGCCAGATGCCAAGCATCTGAATTTTGATTATGCAGATGCTGCAAGACATATGAAAACAGGTCATCTCTTTATTCAGTACCATTGTCACTAAATAAACTGTTAAGTCAAGCACTCCCCGTATTTTAAAGCCATCGTTGATATCATTCACTATTGCATATTGGATTCCATTAGATAATAAACCCAGAAATTAGGTGCCTATGTACAGTAGAAAGTTCTATCTTTTTTAAAATCTGAAAGTAAAATAAATTGATAAATTTGAAATATTTTAAGGCTACTCTTTTTATAGTAATGTTACTACTGGCCACAGACTCCCGTTATCACTGCATTTTTTAAAATACTGCCAAGGACCAAAAACTGGTCTTACAAACAAAATAATAGTACAGTGAGTCATTGTCTTATGACCATTCATTTAATGACAGTTCCAAGTTATAACAGCCTTGGGAAAGTTTCATCTGACCCATCCTCAAAGTTACGACCGTCATACCATTGTTGCAGATTTGTGACTTTTGACCTTCCTAGTGGGTTCCCAACAAACAATGGCTAATCACTTAACAATTGTATGATTCACTTAAAGATGATAAAAATGGTTGTAAAATCATGTCTGGTCACATAGCTCGCTTAACAACCTCTTAGTGACCAAAATTCTTGTCCCAATTGTGATCGTACATCAAGGACTACCTGTCTACTGGGATTTGTTCCTTTTCCATGAGCTTTGCTGCCATCCAGTGTTTTCAAATGTTACCTTTTTGTGTCTTCCATGGTTATCATACTTTAATTAGCAGTTACATTCTCAGCAAAGGATGATCAAATGTAGAGGGAGAGAAAGCAAAATGTGACAGCTAAAGCTTCAGTCATCTAAGATATCTGCCTATTAGTGAAGATGGGGATGTCCACCTCGAACTGGCTATAGTTTAGATACATTATATAGGGCAGCATGGATGCTATGTTCTTCCATTCGCAGTGGGCAAAACCAGAAGTTGTATTCAGCAGGTTCTGACCAGCTCTGGAGAACCGGTAGTGGAAATTCTGAGTAGTTCGGAGAACCAGAAAATCCCACCTCTGACTGGAGATTTTATAGTATCCTTCCCCTGCCACACCCACCAAGCCACAACCACAGAACTGGTAGTAAAAAAACACTGAATGCCACCACTGGACAAAACGTGTTTCTTTGAAGCCAAGCACATAGCTTTGAATCAGTTCTAGCCCTATTTAGAGGCAGTTGAATAAATATCAGTAGAAAGCCCGAGATGTATCAATGTCTACCGGAAATGACTGAATAAGCCAAATAAGCTTTTGTTGCCTGGTTCACAAAGAAAGCTAAAGGACCTGTGTAATCCCAGAAGTCGTCCCTGGAAATTAGAATTACCTCCTAGGATTCCTCTGTTGATTATAAGGTTCCATAAAGTGAAAGGGGTCATTTTGAAGAGGTGCAGGCTAAACTGATTGCTGTCCAGAAAGATAACCCATTTTAGGGGTTCCACCAAAAACTCCGAAGGGGGTTGCAGACAATTTATCTCTCCAACTCACTCATCCCAGTCAGAGAAAGGCAGATTGCATTAAATCCCACAGTGAAAAATATTATGGAGCTACTAAATGAAAATTCAGAGAAAACATACTGTGTGTAATTAACGCACTTGGTTGGACGAAACAATTCTTCATCCAGGAACTCCCAGAAGACAATTAATCCAGCATGCATGCTGAACAAACAAGCTCCACACCAGGATCTCCTCAGGTGGTAATTATGGCAATCAAAATTAAGTAGCTAAAGGTGCACGGGGTTCGTCACAGTGAAAGCATTTTCACTTTTAGCTCTGGAGCATTTTTGTTTCCATTAGGATTGCTGAACTTTTGACTCTTCTGTCTATTATCCATGTCTTGGTTTTGCAGTTTTGGGCGGGTGGATGGGAGATCCCATGAAAAATATGAGAAACCCAAAGAAGCTGGAACCAACTTTTATAATTACGGTTAATAGACCAGGCTTATTACTCTTGAAAGGGACGTGGTGGCTAAGATGCTGAGCTTTGTCGATCAGAAACTTCGGCGGTTCGAATCCCTAGCACTGCGTAACGGAGTGAGCTCTTGTCATTTGTCCCAGCTTCTGCCAACCTAGCAGTTCGAAAGCATGTAAAAAATGCAAGTAGAAAAATAGGAGCCACCTTTGGTGGGAAGGTAACAGCGTTCCGTGGACCTTCGGCATTTAGTCATGACCATGGAGATGTCTTCGGACAACACTTGGCTCTTTGGCTTTGTAATGGAGATGAGCACCAGCCCCTAGAGCCGGAAATGACTAGCACATATGTGCAAGGGGAACCTTTACCTATTACTCTTGAATTAAAATTACTGGACCTCTGGGAAAGAACTGGAAAATTGTAAATGATTCAAAAAGCAAGGCCAATGAATGAAAAGCTGGTGAGTAGACCAGCTCTTCAGTTAATTTCTCTCCCAACAAGGGAGTGGTTTTGGTGGGTTTACAGCTCTGGCAGACAAGGAAATGTTTGTCAAACTCAGCTTACAATTACAGAATGAAGCAAAATAATAGAATAAGAATTGGAAGGGACTATGGCCAGTCTTCCAGCCCAACCTTCTGCTGAAGCTGGAGACCCTGTTAACATTCTGGACAAATGATTGTCCACTAATGGAGCATCCACAACTTCTGGAGGCAAGTTGTTCCACTGGTTTATTGTTCTCACTGTTAGGAAATTTCTCCTTACTTCTAGGTTGCTCCTCTTGTTTAGTTTTCATCCATTGTTTTAACATTTAAAAAAATTAACACAGGCCACGTTGAGGTATTTTGGAACCATGGTCCCAGAATTTTAATACTCTCTGCCTCTGTTTAAAAGGTGTTATGGAAGAGGAACAAATTTTATCTGACAAGGAGGCCGAGTTGAAAGTAGATTTAAAAATTGAAGGTGACAAGGATATGGAAAAAGATGTTACACTGGATACATGAAAAGAAACCAGATTACATCATAATAATTAAAAGTGATATGTGAATAATAAATAATTTTCTTACATTGGATTTTCAAGAGGCTCATTAAAGCTTTGAAAGGGTTTTGGGGTTTTTTTAGTTGGTTTTTTTTAAAAAAAAATTTTTTTTTTTGGAAGAGGGACAAAAAATGATATAAAAAACCCAGATTCTAGGGGGCTAACCATTCATTAGAAGTTAAAGGAAGCGATGTAAAGTTTATTTTATCAAGGTTAAAGTAGTATGTTATCTCCAGTAACCCTTAATGGACCTTTATCAGGCCTGAAATAAGGTTTCAAGGATTTGTTTATAGCTGGGATGGGATATAAGAAGACATCATTTGTTGTTTTTTAAGAGAAAGTTACAAGTTACTAAAATTGTTTATACTTCTGATAAGAGTCACTTCGTTTTTTATTATTTTTCTTTCTTTTCCATTTCTTTCCATTTTTTTTTCTTTTCTGCACCTTATTTTTTCTATTAAGTTTTTATTGTTGTAATCTTTAATCAAATCACTATCCAAAAATGGAATGAGAAGTATTATCGTGAAACATTTCAAATTCTGCAAAATCATAATGCTAAGTCCTAAATCAATATGTACACAATAGCTAACTTAACACAATAAGCTAAGATAAAATCCCTTTGTAGTTTAGCGGAATGGGCAATAAGAATGCGGCCCTACCACAGGTGGAAATTCCACTTCACTCAGCAGAAATTACTTGCAGCAGGCACAACTCGAGAATTACACTTTGAATTAAGTGCAACAAAGGTATAAGGCACCTTTTTGCATGAAATAAATCCAGTGTTGTGCATGCTTGGGGTCTCAGTGTGATGCTTTGCACATCTAAGTAAAAATAAACACATACCCAATTTGGCCCGGTCACTACAGTTCACATTTGGTGCTCCATTATTGACACTAAGCAGATGTTTGTCAATCTGCATGTTTTGGAAATTTTCACAATAAGTCACCAATACTAACTATAACTTGAAGTTGGGGTCTTACATTTCAAGTTGAGCTCAATGCAAGGTTCTAAGTAAACCCTTTCAGCTACCCAGGAGAAAATCTGAAGTTCTCCAATACATGGTGATACCAGCCTTTCCTTCCAGAACTGGCCAAGGATTTACAGTTGTTGAAGTTCAGACCTTTGGAAGTCCCCAAGTTGTGGAAAGTTAGCACAAACTGCAATCTTGGCTTGGACAAACACACAACACACACACACATCAACTTCTAGGACACCCCAGCTGAAACAACAACATGTCATCTTTATTAAGGAATTCCCATGGTAATGTAACACAGAATTTTTAAGAAAGAAAGAACACACTACTTGTTTTATGCCATTATTTTCCCCATCCAGAGAATGGTCAAATATCAGGGTTGGGGTTTGTTTGTTTTGTTTGTCTACACACATGATCATCTTAGCACTTACAGCTCCTTCACTCATGTTCACAAGCACAAAATCCAAGGTGTAAAATCCAGCTAGTATTAAATTCTACATAGTTTAATTATCTGCAATTATGATTTTTCTCTTCTTTTAGAGCATCAAGTCACTGCGGTAAATTAATTCCATATTCAGTGTCATTTTTTTTTATGCATTTACATAGGACAGTCATTAAAAACAGACACACGGAGCGAGTGAGCTCCCACAGGAAACAACATGCTTACATAGCCTGCACTTTTTAAAAAACTTTTTCTATTCCCCATCTCAAAGCACAAAGCAAAACAACGATTATGAACATGGAGGGGGGAGAGAGACAGAGAGAGAGAGAGAGAGAGAGGGAGAAGGAAGACTCAAGTGAATAGCAGAGAGCTGCATTCATTCCATACAACTGAAACAAACACGGTTGTTTGGAGGTTGTTTTTTTTTTTTTTACAAAAGAATGGTTCTCCCATTTTTCTAAAAAATGCTTAAATTCATTATTAAAGCACAAATGAAAAAAATAACATTAAAAATAGCTGAACACATATATATATATTACACTTACTAAATATTTTCTTAATAAAAGTGCAATCTCGTAAGTAAATTAAAAAAAATTAAGAAATCCATTTGAAATGGTCTGGAATTCATTGCCCGTAACAGCACGAACAAAAAGGAAAAAGGGCAGGTTAACTTCAAACTTCACACCTATCACACCATACATTTCAGCATCCAAATGGCAGTTTTTTTCCCACTCGGGCCTGAGCATTGGTGACTGTAGACCAAAGATAGGAAGTGTCCTTGGGATTATCTTCATATGGCTGAATGTATGGAAGGGGAACACAAACAGGGTGGATTATGCACAGCCCCCACTGCTCCACAGTTACCAGAACATTGGGAATCTACAAACAGATGTACTGTAGGCTTCACACGTGTTCCAGTAAATACGGTGGTACAGAGGTGAGCCCAGTCCGTACTGACAAGCTGAAAAAATATACAGTTCAGAGATCCAGAAGAGACCAGTAAAGTTGACTACATCTGTGGATATCAACTCAGGAACTGGGAAGAAATGCCATGCTCTGCTTGGTCTATGGCACGGAAGTGGTGACAGGAACAATGGCACGTTGGACTGGGCCACTTCTGATCTTAAGTTAGAGGAAAAAGGACTTCATGACCTATTAATGAGGGAGTATCTGGGAATCTTAATATTTCATTGTGTAAAATACGTGCTGGGTAAAAATCTTAGCATATTTGGCCTTGAATGCAATCATATCCTTCATCTTCTTAGGTTTCAAGGGGCTTCTGGTCTAGCTTAGGGAAAGTAGAAACTTAAAATCTTGTTTTAGCAGTCGACCGGATTTAAGAATGGGGCTAAAAAAAAACCCTTCCAAGACCTGCATCCAAGATTAAGTAAAGGCACAAATTAATCCCATACGTGTACACCAAGACTGCTATTTAAAAAAAGGAAGAAGTAACCAGTAAAGGAAGGATGTGACCAAATAATGACTCAACCAACCCAACAAGGTTGGGAAAGAAAAGGGAGATTCTAAAGTCTTCGCATGTTAACCTCCTAGAAGAAGAGTGAGCAACCTGCAGCTCTAGAGCCGCATGCAGTTCTTTCATCCCTCTGCTGTGGCTCCATTGCTGATCGGCTCCACAATTGATAGGGCTTTCGGCTAGGACAGGTAGAGGAAAAAGGATGCTGCACCAGGAGGAGACTCTATGGTGGCGGAAGCGGACTTCAGTCGGCTCCAGAATTGAACAGGGGGCTTCCAATTAGGATCTTTGTGGCTCTTTTGAGTATTTAAAGTTGCCAACCCCTGTCCTAGAAGGTTTAATGGAAGCGGTTCGGAGCAGGTAAAGATTGTGAATTATGCCAGTTCCTGTATGGGCTACATACAATTGGAACTTGCAAAATTTATGCAATATGCAGATTTGGATTCTATCATGGGATCGGAACAAGAGGAGCATCCACTTCACTGGACCAATAATAAATATGAATTAAGAGGCCTCTGTGCACTTAGATGAACACTTCTAATCCACCCACATTCAGGCCTTTGCACATATATTTAAAAGAAGGATGAATCAGGGGAAGTTGGCAGTGCTGTTAGCTTGTTAGGAATATACTGCCTTCTGTTAGCACAAGGGATTTAAAGATCAGTGACTGGACACTGCAGTTTAGAGTCGGTGCCAAGTGTATGCCTGCCCAAAGTAGAAGCATTTTATTTTTCAACCCCAAACAATGCAGAGTTTTAGAACCTCTCCAGGTCAAGAAAACCTAAAAGTTCAATGCTTTAGTTATTCTGTGTTTTGAACCAAGGAAAAATTAGATGAGCAAGATTGTACCTATTCTCTCCCCACAGCAGTTCTGAGTAATATAGTCCACTGGCTCGTCTTCCCAGAGACTTCTGTCTCTCACCTCAGCTGTCCTCCATGTCTAGCAAGGAGCATCGCCTCAGCTTCCTCATTATGTCCACTGCCATCCTTCCTTTACTACCCTGGGGTGACAAACCCCTTAACTTCTTCTGAAGGCCCATCAACATCACTTGCATCCAGGCCAAAGAAATTACAATTTGTTCTGTATGCAGATCAGAACATCTCTATTTCATTCCACAGGTGGACCAAAACATTCCAAAGGGTGCATGGTTTGATTCAGGCACTGGCTCCCTCAAACCTTCAAGCACAGAACCGCTGTTCCACGCAAAAGGTACCACAACCCTAACTCCAAAGCTAATCCAGATACATTGCGATCAAAAAACAGCAAGGATTTCTATTTGCCACACCGGGTTCCATCCATTTTCTTTTTCTTGCACCAAGGCATTCCAGCAATCAGACCTACATGTCTCTCCCATATCTCAGTTTTCATTCAGTCAAGACCCATCTCTCTTAAGACTACACTAGCAATAACATTTAGGCTTATATCCTGCTCCATAGCACTTCACAACACTCTCTAGGCAGTTTACCCATAGGAATAGTACTATTAGTAGAAAGACTGAGCTCCTGAAGGGCGATACTGTAGTAGACGTAAGAGTCCCAGCTATGAAACAACTGTGTTGTTAGAATATAAGAAGCAGCAAGCCATGGTCACAGTCAAACTCCACAGCTGGCCCTCTTATTTTGAGATAGTGTCAAGAATGGATGGATGCCTTCTTTTTTCAATAAAATGCACTTTTTTAAAGTGCAGGAAGTAATTTAGAAGATGCTCCCTGGCCAGTTCCCTTGTCTGAGCTCCAAATCCCTCGAAGAGTCTGTGGCTTGGGTTTTATAAGAACCTACTTCCACTAGAGATGGAAGAGTTTAAACAAGGGAGGGTCCACTTTATAGACAATCAGGTAATTTTAGGGAAAATACAGTGGAGGATGTCTTTTAGAAGGTATACTTTAGATTCCAAAACTCAAAAGAACACATTGGAGAATCCCTGAAAGACTATCATTTGGATGGCAAAATTCAAGGTTGGGTTGATGCAAGAACTGATCAGAATATGGTGGAGCTATGGAGACCCTAAACTCAAAGAAAATAAGAAAATGGAAAGATTCTCTCCATCCTAAAATAAGGCATCTCAAACAATGCAACAGGCAGGAACAAGTCCATAATCATATGCGTATACATACATACATATAAAGAAGAAAACGAAGAATCCTTCAATTGCTTCAAGTGTGGAATAAAGGTATTAAATATCAAAATAAGATGGGATACACTCTCCACTCCACAATTACACCTTGACCTAGCAGCACAAAATCTTCCTCCCTCCAAATGGAAAGAAGGCCATCCATGGGTTTGGATCTCCCACGTTCTAAGTCCCATGATTGGTGACTCCAGTTTTGGAAACGTCCAGTTTAAACCCTTCATTTCTCTTTTGCAGAATTGAAAACCCAACCTTAATAGATGAGGGATTGGCGGCGGGGGGAGAGGCAGCTCACGGGAAATTCACTTTATCCTTCCTTTTAAAAGAAAATTAAAAATAAAAATAAAAGAGGCAAAGCAAAGAAAGGATGATGCTCATGGTCACGCCAACTACAAGTTCTACACGTCAATGTTTATCTCTTTTAAAAGCAGAAAGCGGGGTGGGAGTGTGGAGGAAGGGAGAAGTGAGGAGGTTTTGTGAAGAGATGGGGGAGGGAAATGGTTAACAATAAAAGGAAAGGGGAGGGAGAGAGAGAGAGAGAGACAGAGAGAGAGAGAGAGAGACTATGGCCTCATCCACTGCTTATCCACAGTAACCATCACAGGCTCTAAAAGAATTTAAAAAAGGTCTTTTCAAGTGCCCCCACCCACCATCTCCAAGTGGACTTTTGCTCCCCTGATGTCGTTTTTAACCCAAGCTGGTGATGTTGGCGCGGCCCCCAGGGGGTGCAACTATGCGCTGCGTAGTACGCCGTGGGATATTATCGTCGATTTGCGCACCTACAAGTTGGAAAGAGGGAGAGAGACAGAAGCATAGTGAGAAACTGAAGATGTACACATAAGTATAACATGAGCAATTCTACTATGATTTCAAAGTCTAAAGCAGAGGCCTCCAAACTTGGCAACTTTAAGACTTGTGGACTTCCACTCCCAGAATTCTCCAGCCAGC